GAATCTCTGGTTAAATCTCAGGCATGTCTCTCCTTCATTTCCTCAGTGTAAATTTAGCAATGTCTCAATACACTAGAAGGAGCTCTGGTAGAGTAGTGGTCACGAGTTGGCTGCGAACCTAGGTTAGCATTTCAAAACTACCAGCTGCTCCGTGGGAGAAAGATGAGGCTTTCTGCCCCTGTAAAGATTTACAACCTCGGAAACCTTGTACAGGGTCACTATGAGTCAGAACTGATTCCACCACACATAACCACCACCACCACCTATAGACCAGAGATTAGGTATTACACGTTTACGTGTTGAATTAAGGGGTCAACTTGGTCACATACTTACTTTTCTTTGTGCCTTCAATTTCTTTTCAGCTCTCAGTTTTTTATTGCTCTTTCCAAATTAGCTAAACTGGTTTCTCCCATCCTTAATTTCTTCCTTTCTCTTCACCTTTCATCCTATTTCTGTTTTGAAAAACATTTTTGACATTGCTTTAAAGGTCATGTTCTTTGGACTCTTTCTAAATTAAAAACAATCACTTTCATATAAAATTGTCTTTAATGCTTTTTATTATGAATTGAGTAAAGGTTTACAATTTTTTTACACTGTAAAAAATATTCACATCATCAGGTTTACATTCAATAAATCATACACTTGATCTTACTTCAATGATTGCAATCCCCTCCATGCAACAACAGTTGTCCCACTTCTTCCCCGTGGTTACCCAGGTACAAGTATCCTCTTTCAAATTCTTATATATTTGTAGGCTATATAGCGTAGTGGTTGTGAATTGGGCTGCTAATCTCAAGGTCGGCAGTTCGAAACTACCAGTCATACCACAGGAGAAAGATGAGGCTTTCTGCTTCTGTAAAGATTTACAGCTTCGGAAACCCTGTGCAGGGTCACTATGAGTCAGAACCAACTCCACGGTACTTAACAACAACATACATGTGTGTGTATCTATCTATCTATCTATCTATCTATCTATCTATCTATCTATCTATCTATCCCACTCTTCCTCCCATGCCCATTTACCTGTGTCTCTGTCTATGTATCTACACAGAGTACACTGTGGTTCCAAGGAACTGACTTGATAGGACTTAACAACAGCAACAACAATCTCTACCCCCTTTAGCCCTTGCATACCTCCCTGCATCGTCACCTATCTTCATCATTCTTCTGCCACCCTCCCTCTTCTTATATATTAGCTTTCCCCTTCTTGCATATTGTCCTCCCTGTCAATAGAGTTAACATGTGTCTGCCTTCTAGTCAGTAAATTATTCTCCCTTCTCTTCCATCCCTCGTAACCATCAAAGAGTGTTTCTTTTAAGTATTTCGTTTCTAATTTTTTTATTTTAGTTTTGTGTTCTTTTTCTCAAAGAGAACTGTTAGGTGTCTATACACATTAGACTCACAATCTTCATTTGCCCCTGGGTTACTTAGTAAAAAGACAAATGCAGAGAAGAATCCAAACAAGAATTAAAAAGAGAGTGTTGAGAAAAAGAGTAGGAAATAACATGGACTCAAGATTAAATATTGAATAGAGTTGCCCCAGTTGAGCATCGGGATTAGCTCCAAGTTCCCTGGAAGGCAAAATGGTGAGGGGAAATTCTGTATAATTCTTGCTGTTAGAATGCAGGAAATTTATTAAAATTTCAAAGAGAACAAAAATATCCATTAATGCTAAACTCTTAGAAGTGTCTCATGAAACATTATATAGGAGACAAGATCCTACTATGACCAAAGTGGTAGTTTCATTATAATGGAAACAAGCAATACATTGTTGCACAAATCGTTGGAAACAACTCATGATACCCAACAACAACATGTGCCTTCCTCTCAGCTTAACCCTTCTCCAACTGGCCTTTTGGAGTTAAATTGCTATCAAGTTGGTTCCAACTCATGGCATGTGTGTCAGAGAACAGCATGTCAGAGAACAATGCTCCACAAGGTTTCAATGGCTGATATTTTGGAAACAGATTGGCATGCCTTTCTTCCAAGGCACTTCTGAGTGAACTCGAACTTCCAACCTTTAAGTTAGAAGCCTACCCAGGGCTTCCATTCTATATCCGTCATTGTCCTGGAAAGCTATCTGGCCTCTCAGAACTCTTAGGCAAACAGAAATAATTGGGAAAAACAAAACAAAACAAAAAAAGCTGATAAATCAATCATGGAGATCCTGCACATAGAACAGTGTGATTACGAGGGAGACAACGGCTAACTCCCATCAAGAAGATGCAGACAGAAGGGAAGAAATGACTTTAGAACTCCGTTCTAAAGATAAAATAGTATTAATGTAATCATCATTACTTCCCAGGGAATGTTGAAGGACTATGCACAGGTTCCTGGACAGTTTTTCTAAGCACAATGTTCTCTGCTCATTCTGTTGGGTTATGGGCACAGTTACTGTTGAGATTTGGAATAGCATTCACTGATTCATTCTTCACTGACCCCAGAAAAAAAGAATCTTTTATGAAATGAGTTGTTACAATTCATTTCTAGGCCTTTCTGTCTTATTTCCCTGAGTGTCTGAAGGATATCTCGTGTCTGACTCATATCCTTTTTAATGGATATGATGGGTTTAGTAAATTGTTTAGTTACCTGTAGAGAACCAAAGGCAAAGTATTTGAAAATAACAGTAAGAAACATGACAGAGGAAAACCCCCATACATCTGGAAATTAATTGATGAACTTCCTTCAGTGTTCAAGTATTTTCAGCTTCAAAAATCTTTATTCAAATGAGAAGTTAAATTTTATTTGTGAACAATTCTCATTTTATAGCAGTGGAATAGAAAGCAACTTATCTGGAAGCACCTATAAAAAAATTTAAGCCACAAAAACATGGAAGAGTCTGAATTTTAAGCATCCAAATGTTAGGTAATAGAAAACATCTTTATGAGGAAAATAAGCTCTCCTAATAGCCTTCCTGGGTAAGGTTTGTAGAGCTGAATTGAACATTTGTTCCTGCACTGGTATCCCCAAATCAATGGAAACATTTGTGCATCTTCCTAAAGTATTCAACTGCAGCAAGTACTGCATCAAACAGTCTAAAGGTTTGCTCTCTGTTGTGTCTAGCCAAAGACCCCTGAAAACTTTACCTTGCATTATGCATGGCCCCCTAACTCCTTGAAAGTTTGAAAACACATGAAAAGTCTCTTCCTGTCATTCTGACTCCCATTTCCTTTGACAGATTACAAAAGGCTAGCAGCACCTTGCAATGGAGCTGGATTTTCAATCATGGGGAAATTTTAAACTTCTGCAATTGGTACTAAAATGATGATGCTACAATCATACGTCACTCAACAGAGATCGGCAAAGGAATAAAAACAATTTCAGTATGGATCATTGTCCCACTGCAGCAAAGAGAATCTACTGAGGTGTTGGGTCAAGAATTCAGCATTCTTTTTCAGAAAATGTGCTTGACTTGAGTTCCAACTCTGAGGACAGAGTTAAAACATAAATAGATAATTTACATTTCTGATTTTGGTTAATCAATAATTAAGCAGAATCACTGTAAACTTTGCACACTGAGAATCAAGAGATGTTGAACATGTCTAATAGCTGGAATTAAATTTTAAAAAAATTATAGTAAGCTTTAATTCCTCTTCTTTATTTCCCACTGAGAAATAGGAAAACAGCTCTTGGGTTTAAAGAACACAAATATAGAAACTGCTGAGCAAATTGCAAAGATTGGTAAAAGAAAATAATAAGCAGAGGGCAGTTGTTCACAGATAAACACTAAAATAGAAGCTTAATGATTCTTGCAGTTACCACCTGTTAACACACTGCAGCGATTAGGAGAACAAGTCTGCAGAATTCATTAACAACTATCTTTTATTGTAAGCGTGCCATGTGTCAGACATGCTTATAGATCGCCTCATTCAATCATCACCGTAATTCTATGTGGTAGATATTATTAGTCCCTGTTCAGTTGAAGAAACAAGTGTAGAGAAGCTAAGCAATTTGTCTGAAATCGTCCCGTTAGTCAGTAGCAAAACAAGTGCCTGGTCTGAGTCTGGTCTGAGTCCCATATTGTGTTTTCAACCACACCCAAATTCAGTAAAAAGGACGCAAGTTTCTGACTTGGAATTAACAATATGTATCATGGTATTGTATGGTGAATAATCAACTGTAATAATAATAGTAAAAACAGATCTAACACATTTTACAAGTCACATAATGTTCTAAGTGCTTTATACATAACAATTTATTTAATCCTCACCACAACCCTAAGACATAGGAAACTGAGCCATTGATAGAGTGGCAGGCATGGCCAAACTTCAAACCCAGATAATGTGCCCACCCCCCCCAGGCCCAGCTTTTGCACATTGAACTGTACTGCCTGACTAGACATTTTAATCTGCATACAGACTAAATTCATGTCTGCGTTTATGCCATTCCAGTCACATTCTGAAATGGTTCCAGTACCATATCACAATTTGTGAATAAAGTGAAAGCTGAAAAATCAAGGAAGTCCATGATCAGTTTGAGCAAACTAATGCATTCTGAAATTATTCTGCTCAAGTTGGTTTCTATTAAAGGGTTTAATTCAAATATTTGACAAGCAAAAGAGGAATAAAAATGGTGGTTATATGAAATTAATCACATAAAATACCAAATGATTTTTAACAGCAAATCCTGCACCCATTAAAAAAAAATAGCTGTTGCTTATATGGATATATTTACACAGGGCCACACAGTGTATACTTAGTATTCTGTGCCCAGAATACAGGTCTAGCTCAGTATCTGTTTTGAACCACATACAGATGTTCATTGACATATAGACAAGCACAAAATAGTCAGTGTCACACAGCTGTTGCATTAAGTATTAGCTTCTGATGAACCTATGAGTTCTAGAATGAAATGAAAAAATATATTATTTTTTGTGCTTATTTCCAAATTGTCTGAATGTTATCAAGGGTTGCCATGATTTTTTACATTAAGTTAAATATGTCTAATCACGTGCTAATAAGTAACTAACAGCCTGTTTTATTCTTTTTCTTTCTCTCCAGGTATCCCCAGTATTTCCAGTATTGGTAGTAAGTAAAAAAAAATAGCCACACGAAGAATAGACTAGCTTTGCTTTCCTGTTCAGCTCCTGAGATCTATTTTCTCAGTGTCCATTTCTGATGAAAGAGAGTATTCTCTTTGTGATTTGAAATTGTGTCAAGTTCCGGCACAGATGTGGTGAATGCACAGATAAAAGAGTTGTGCCTATTTCCTCTGTGGTCATGGCAGAGCTGCAGCTTTCCTTACTACATGTGATCAATGAAGGCCACCTGTATAGAGGTGCAGTTACTTAGGAAACGGAAGTTCATTTAACAAAACTACAAACAGTCTTACTTATCCATACTTAGTAACCAATAAACAAATTGAACTCTCTCCGCAAGACCTGAATATGGATTTCTAACATAATTTAGAAAAGCTAAGAATGGATGCCAATGAATGCCTTGGGCGTCTTCATTAAAACTCAAGGAAAACACCATGAAACTAGGGAGACAGAATACTGTCAATGCATTAAATTCTACGCTTTGTGGAGGCCTGAAAGATGCAGATTTGTAATCATTACTCTTCCTGGATGAAAGAACAAAAAAATAATTAGTACTTCCATCTCTTCCTCCTAAAAATTGCAGACATCAATTAATAGAAAAACAGAGAATTTAATAATCCGAATAATAGAAATTTGTGAGAAAATTTTTAGTAGAAATACTAAATACTAAATACTCTGTCACACCGAGCTGTTTGTTCTGCAGTACCACTGCAAGGAATGTTCTCCTGCTATCGTGGTATAATCCGAATGTAGCTCCCTCCGTATCTGTAAGAAAATAGCACCCTTGCATCAAACCGGAAATGCTCACTAAGAAAATACTTAATAGCATTTCAGAGCAGAACATAACATTTTTGATAGGCTATGCCCTTTATCTTCATTGACTAAAATCTTTGAATGAATGCTGAGTAACTGATTAGAAATAAAGTACTAAGGAAGTAGAGATAATGCTCTAGAAATGAACATTTGACTGTGGTCTCATCCAACACAGGCTTTCATCTAGAGGCTGTGCCATACAGGGTGATCACAGTGTAAAGAGCAGCAGTTGAAGAATTGTAATATCCAACATCCATCTAAAAAGCAATACATTGATAATCTGGATAAAAAGCTCCTCATTTCTTATAAATGCACAATCAAGTCTTCTGATTAGTAACTCAGCGTAGTTTACTTCAACCTCTGAATTGATCTAGACGTTGCTTTGTTAGGCACTTCTTGTTGTTGTTATGTGCTGTGGAGTCGGTTCCAACTCATAGCGATCCTGTACAGGGTTTCTGAGGCTGTAAATCTTTACCGGAGCAGAAAGCCTCATCTTTCTCCTACGGAACTGCTGGTAGTTTTGAACTGCTCACCTTACGGTTTGCAGTCCAATTCGTAAACACTACACTACCACAGCTCCTTTTGTTAGGCACTAGATGTGTTAAATGCCATGAAAATCAGCCACTTTGTAAATAAAGTTTTATTTCATATCCAGTTAGATACCAGCCTAATGTTACAGCATCTTCTTAGTGACAGTGTGAAAACAGCATCAGTGCTACCGGTTTTCAAATGAAAGCCTACACCTTTTATAGTCTAATTTTTCTGCTTTAATCGCTCCCTTAGCATTTGCCTAACAACATATATACCCCACAATGTGCATCTTTCAGGTTTGTACAATTGCATTTTCACATGCATTTGAGAGCAAAAGGGAACCAAATTGAAGCAAGCTGCAAAAGATGATTGAGGGCGCTCTGGTGATCTAGCCTGCTACAAGGCTCAGAAATGGATAGATGGAAAAGTAGCTCTTTGGTGTTGGGGTGTGTTTCTGTTCTGAGTGTCAGTTGTGTGTTGCATGGAAGCTCTGACTGTAAGGCTCACCTGACATCTCATCCGGCCTTCTCCACCACATTCCCCACCTCTGAGCATCAGCAGATGTTGACCTTTTATACACTTAATCGGGAAATTCCACTTTTGTTTCATTTTGTATTGAAATCAGTGGTGACCTGAAAGGATGCTTTGTTGTGCCTTTGGAGAATGTATTATTAACCTTTATTATCAGGAACCAAGGGAAATTTAGCTTCCTAACAATTAATGAAAACCATACACACAAAAAGTGATAGTTTGGACCCTGCTTCCAGTATGTCTCTGGTTGGTCAACTTGGAGTGCAATGGGTGTTACCTCAACGTGCAAGCAAACAGGATGTAAGAGCTTCCAGGGGTCACCCAACATCACACATGACTAGCTTGCCAATTGGCTGGCTTTAAGGTAAAGAGATTTACATAAAGACCATCAAACATGATTGTCTACTCTAGGCTGCTTTAATGACATTTGCATGTTCCTTCTTTGTGAGTTCAGAAAGTGCTTGTTATGTGCACTGATGGATTCCTATCCTCTCAAAGGGCAAGAATTCATGGGCAGATCACTCGCTGCCTTTTCTGGAGAGCACAGGAATGGGGTTTTCAAGGTACAAACTAGAGAAGAGGGAGGACCACTTGGATTTTAACTAAGTTGGGATCTTTGCCAAGGTTTTTCCTATTACCTCAAAGAAGGAATCAATGAACTAATTCCACCAACAACACGAGGAAGATGCCATTATAAATAGCTGTAACACCCATGAGACTCTGAACATCAAAGCATATCTCAAGGAAAATAAGTGATGTATATTATTGATGTAAATTATTGATGTATGTAACCATAAACTCACATACATATGCTGTATGCAGAAATGACTGTATGCCTTAGAGTCCTAAGAGATTTTAGTATAGACCTCAAATGGTCAACGCATGCATTAAGGTTCAAATGTATGTACAGAATGGTCATCCTTTCCGATCATCTGCTAAAAACATTTTTGAAAAAATTTCCCATTAAGGTCATTTGTACCTGCTGTTGTCTATCTATTAGGAAATAGGTCTCCCAGTCATCCAGAAGGTACTTGATTTAAAACTTGGTTATTTTGATGTGCTTTGGCCATGGCTGAAAAAATATTGGTGATATTATTGTCAGCAATTAACGAATCCCAAATTAGAGTGTGGCCATTTGAGCCTTATAATCTGTGTTTAGTTCATCTGAGGTGGTAGTAATTCATTCAGGTTTCATTTCTTAAAATAAAAGGCACTATGCATTTTAAAATAAACATTCACAATTTTAGCTAAGTGAACATTTGTTGATGCTGATGACCCAAATTGATTGTTCAGTGTGGGTGTCTTTGTTAAACTGAAAAATGAATCCTTACCTTCTATATATATACATATATATCATCTGATCCTTAGTCCTGAAAAACAAGTAATTTCACTTATTATGTTAAACAGTATATTATAAAGAGCATAATTTGACCAGCAAGGACTGGCCTGATATGCAAATAGCTTTGTGGGGAGTGATCATCACCTCTTAAACAAAGCAAGTAACAGATGAGTCAGAGATCAAATAGACCAGCCACTTAAATAAACAATTACATCTATAAATATCTTTGTCAAAGGTTTGTAATTCTTAAATAAATAAAAAAAAATATTTCTTACAATGGCAACAAAAGGAAAGAGACATCTAAACATTATACGAACCTAGCTATATATTATATACTTAAATTACTTTCAAATAATAGACACGATGGGATGATACACATAGAATTTTTAATGAAGGTGTTTGGTTCTCCTCCCCAAACCCTGAACTTATTCAGTTTGCACCAATAGTTCACTTAAGGGAAATGTTTCATTTCCCTCTGTTCTCCTTTCAGTGAGCATTGCCTTCATCACAGAGTTAAAAATCCATCTCTAATTTGATTTAATTGGCAGGACTAATAAACAAGGGAACTGCTACCTGCAGGGATCCATCAGCCTGTTGAGGAAGCCCAGAGATGTTTTCATACTTGAAAACATTTGATGCCAGTTGGAGATCTTGTAAAAGTTGTTTTCCATAAAGCATCCAAACATTTTTATTCACTCTCAATTTACTGTAGAAACTTGGATTGTGAAGGAAATCATAAGGTTAATAATTTTCCCACCTAAGGGTTATTAGTGATTGTGTTCATGCTATCCAGAGAAGTGCAGTGTTTGTTTATTCCCCTTTGCTTTTAATACTTCTAAATCCCCCAAATATAAGTTTCATTTGAATTGGCCTTTAGCTAATTAGGTTTTATATAGTAAGAGGGAAATTATCAAGATAGTGTAGTGAGTTGACAAATTGCATGGTGTGCTATATTAATTTTGATCTTTTTGCTAATGTTCTAGAAGGAAAGTTAAGGTCCCAAGAGACTTACTTGCCTTTGGGAGTTTATTATGTCATGTACCCAGTATCCTCATCACAGACCCATTTCATACTTGTGTAACTAACATTTCACATTCATGAAACCTTGTGATTATCTTAAAGTTGAATGAACATTAGGACAACTGCCTCTTTAATCCTGAAGACCAAATCTAAATTGTAATGGGAGATAGGAACAGAATCTATTTCAAAAGATTAACAACAACAACAAAAAGATCCAAGAGAGGTTTAGCAATCTTTGTTGACAATTGCCCACCTTGAGTACACTGATTTTTTTCATATATTAATCTTTTTCCAGGTGACTTTAGAATGTCAAAACACTTTTTAAGTGTGAGCCAATATCTGTGCCTTTGCTCAATATCTCTTTGTGGTGCATCTAGAAAAATCCTTATTTAAATCAAGATATGCCAAGATCTCCAAGAGCTTCTATGATGAAATATTGAACACATAACTGAATTTCCACATCACAACAGTCACTTCAAGTGTCTTGGTTTCCCTGGAATCTTATTAGAAGACCCTGAGTATCAAGGGAGAGTGCTCCAACTCACCACTCCACTTCTTGGGAAGTGTCAGACAGACCTTTTCCCTTGAAATCGTAGGAGAATGTTCTCATAGGTCAACAGAATTCCATTTGGCAAATGGTGACTCTGAGGCTCAGTGTGGCCAAGCAACTTGCCCAAATCATAGTCACAGGAAGGCCTAACTAACTGATTTAAAAGATTAGGCTCATAACATTATACCAAATGGAAGTGATTAGA